GGGGGGGGGGGGGGGGGATGCAATGGTAGAACAGTGAAGTTTGAAAACATGAAGAATTCAAAGGAACAACAAACAAAGAAACTAGTGGCAGCTGATTTTTTTTTTTTATTTATTTCGCAAATAGATGCAGTTGTTAAGTGTTGTTGATCTCTTCACGATGGAGCTCATGAGCAATAAGGCGCACACTTTGGCGACTTGTTGCCTGCATTAAAAGACCAACTAAATGAGGCGAAACACCAACTCGTTGCTTGTAGCTTCAGAGCCAGAGCCGATTCCTCAACTGAACTTTTAACAACACAACCACGAAGTCATAAGATACCAGCACAAATCACAGTTTCCCTTTCTCTACGATTCCCGTTTGATCCTCGGATATAAGTGGATGAGGTAAATATTGCTTAGTATTCTTTCATATTTTCCCTTCTTGTTTTGGTATGGAACTCCTTTTCCGTATGTAACTGAAGAAGGTGAAATATGAAATAACCTTTTGCAATATTCAATTATACTGTCTTTTTTTTTGGGTGTAAAAGATAACTTGCATTAATTAAAAGTTGTGTACAAGGGTTGGTGCTCGTGCACCATAGTACATATACTAACATTAGTTACATTATCAGGTAGATGTGAGGTCTCGTCCCTAAAGTTAACGTGTTGACGATCCTCATTACTGGTAGTAGCTGTTGTTGTCCTAGCTATTGTCAAAACGGTAGTGTCAATGGCATCTGCAGCTACGAGGTTACTAACAAAACATGGTTGGCTATTGTTAAAGGCTGCTTCTCTTGCTTCTGGGATAGATACGAGACGTTGTATAGTGGTTCCCAGTTGATCTGCCTGCAGGCTGCAGCTGACTTGATACAAAAAGAGGTGGTTCAACAAAAACTTGCAGTGTAGCTTCACCTTGCATCCTACTTCCTAAATTCGCAAGTTGGTCTGCTGCTCCATTTTTGTTCCCCGTATGCATGTCGAACTACTGGATCATGTAGCATCCTGAGGAGGTGCCTGCAATCAGAAATCAGATTAGTATATCTAGAGTTGTTCGTAGCCACAAGTGTGATTACCTCCTGTGCATCAGTTTCCACTTCCAGTGGCAGTAATTGCATTTGGACGGCTAGACTTAGCCCTTGTATGAGGGCCTGCAGCTCTGCTGAGATAGAATGTACATGTGTGATTGGGCCAGCAAACCCCACCATCCAAACGCCTAAGTGGTTCCTAATCACTCTTCTGATGCCATCTGTATCAGTGTTGCAAGATGTTGCCCCATCCGTATTTAATTTGTAATAGTTTGGTTTTGGAGGTATCCATCCAAGATTTAGACGTACCCTTTTAGGTTGTGTGGGTTGTGATGCAGCCATATATGCAAACTCAATAGCTTGATGTAAGACTAATTTTGGACTAGTTTTAGTGCTTTGTGGTCATAGAGATTCCGATTACGTATAAACCAGATATTCCATAGACTCAATGGTATAAATGTGCGTGTGTTCAGTTTATGAGGGAGTTGTAGTCCCTTTGAGTGTATGAGTTTATGTAGCCAAAGATTTCAAAAAAGCAATTCAACAATTACAATTCTGCAGTGTTGGTAAAACTTTGTTTCAACGGTCTATAGGGGCATTTGTATCTATACCCGCTTTTTGTGCCACATTTTAACCCGTGCCCGCTTTGCAAAAAAAATTGCAAGCGTACCCGCTTTTTCGCATAACTTCAGCACACGGGGCTGAAGTAGCAAAGGCAATCACGCAAAACTTCAGCATTTTAGTAGCCGGGCCTGAAGTTCAGCTCTAGAGCTGAAGTTTTTGTTTTGTAACTCGCGAACTTCAGCTCTAGAGCTGAAGTTTTATTTTATAAGTTTTTGTTTAGTAACCGGGCTGAAGTTTGCCAGTTATAAAATAAAAACTTCAGCTCTAGAGCTGAAGTTTTTCTTTTGTACTGGAAAACTTCAGCTTTAGAGCTAAAGTTTTGGTTTTTGTAACCAGATAACTTCAGCTCTAGAGCTGAAGTTTCTATGTTGTAACTAGAAAAGTTTTTGTGTTGTAACTGAAAAACTTCAGCTCTAGAGCTGAAGTTTCTATGTTGTAACTAGAAAACTTCAGCTCTAGAGCTGAAGTTTTTGTGTTGTAACTGAAAAACTTCAGCTATAGAGCTGAAGTTTTTGTCTAATTAACTTCAGCTCAGGACACCAAGAAGATACAGTTACATCTAATTAACTGTATTGTGATCATCTAATGCATCCGATTTTGCGTTCTGTTTTTATTGCAAAATAAATGCTTTGTTGTTATGCTATTTCGTTTTCGAAAACTTTTCTTTTTAACATTTGAATCTCTGATCGCTGATGATCAGTTTCTCCATTTTTTTTACGGTTTCTATGTTTTATCTATATTACAACATATTTGATTTTCGTGTTGCTGTTTTTTTGTTGGATAAAAATTGGTGCCTTTTTCTGATCAATGGTATGACCATATCATTCCTCAGTCCTCACGGAGTTGTGTTTCCAGACAATGAGAAAATGAAGAAGGAGAAGGGGAGGAGAAAGGGAAGCTGAAGTTTTTTAAAAAGTGGGTACGGGTGCAAACAGAAAGACAAAGCGGCTACAGGTTAAAAAGGGGCGCCGAAATAGGGCGCCCCGTGCATTTTTTACCGGTGGGGCATTTGCATCTATACCCGCTTTTTGTGCCACATTTTAATCTGTGCCCGCTTTACAAAAAAAATTGCAAGCGTACCCGCTTTTTCGCATAACTTCAGCACACGGGGTTGAAGTAGCAAAGGCAATCACACAAAACTTCAGCATTTTAGTAGCCGGGCCTGAAGTTCAGCTCTAGAGCTGAAGTTTTTGTTTTTTAACTCGCGAACTTCAGCTCTAGAGCTGAATTTTATTTTATAAGTTTTTGTTTAGTAACCGGGCTGAAGTTTGCCAGTTATAAAATAAAAACTTCAGCTCTAGAGCTGAAGTTTTTCTTTTGTTAGCTGCTGCAGGATTGGACGTCTATCTATCTCACCACGCTCCCCTACTCCTATAAAGGCCGGCGGAAGGAATGCTCTGCTCATCTTTCTTACGGCTTGGAAAAATTTAGCTCTAGAGCTGAAGTTTTTGTCTTTGTAACCGGGAAACTTCAGCTCTAGAGCTGAAGTTTGCCAGTACAAAAGAAAAACTTCAGCTCTAGAAGTTTTTGTTTTTGTAACTAGAGAACTTCAGCTCTAGAGCTGAAGTTTCTATGTTGTAACTAGAAAACTTCAGCTCTAGAGCTGAAGTTTTTGTGTTGTAACTGAAAAACTCCAGCTATAGAGCTGAAGTTTTTGTCTAATTAACTTCAGCTCAGGACACCGAGAAGATACAGTTACATCTAATTAACTGTATTGTGATCATCTAATGCATCCGATTTTGCGTTATGTTTTTATTGCAAAATAAATGCTTTGTTGTTATGCTATTTCGTTTTCGAAAACTTTTCTTTTTAACATTTGAATCTCTGATCGCTGATGATCAGTTTCTCCATTTTCTTTACGGTTTCTATGTTTTATCTATATTACAACATATTTGATTTTTGTGTTGCTGTTTTTTTGTTGGATAAAAATTGGTGCCTTTTTCTGATCAATGGTATGACCATATCATTCCTCAGTCCTCACGGAGTTGTGTTTCCAGACAATGAGAAAATGAAGAAGGAGAAGGGGAGGAGAAAGGGAAGCTGAAGTTTTTTAAAAAGTGGGTACGGGTGCAAACAGAAAGACAAAGCGGCTACAGGTTAAAAAGGGGCGCCGAAATAGGGTGCCCCGTGCATTTTTTACCGGTAGGGCATTTGCATCTATACACGCTTTTTGTGGCACATTTTAATCTGTGCCCGCTTTGCAAAAAAAATTGCAAGCGTACCCGCTTTTTCGTATAACTTCAGCACACAGGGCTGAAGTAGCAAAGGCAATCACACAAAACTTCAGCATTTTAGTAGCCGGGCCTGAAGTTCAGCTCTAGAGCTGAAGTTTTTGTTTTGTAACTCGGGAACTTCAGCTCTAGAGCTGGAGTTTTATTCTATAAGTTTTTGTTTAGTAACCGGGCTGAAGTTTGCCAGTTATAAAATAAAAACTTCAGCTCTAGAGCTGAAGTTTGCCAGTTATAAAATAAAAACTTCAGCTCTAGAGCTGAAGTTTTTCTTTTGTACTGGAAAACTTTAGCTCTAGAGCTGAAGTTTTTGTCTTTGTAACCGGAAAACTTCAGCTCTAGAGCTGAAGTTTCTATGTTGTAACTAGAAAACTTCAGCTCTAGAGCTGAAGTTTTTGTGTTGTAACTTGTAACTAGAAAACTTCAGCTCTAGAGCTGAAGTTTTTGTGTTGTAACTAAAAAACTTCAGCTATAGAGCTGAAGTTTTTGTCTAATTAACTTCAGCTCAGGACACCAAGAAGATACAGTTACATCTAATTAAATGTATTGTGATCATCTAATGCATCCGATTTTGCGTTTTGTTTTTATTGCAAAATAAATGCTTTGTTGTTATGTTATTTCGTTTTCGAAAACTTTTCTTTTTAACATTTGAATCTCTGATCGCTGATGATCAGTTTCTCCATTTTCTTTACGGTTTCTATGTTTTATCTATATTACAACATATTTGATTTTCGTGTTGCTGTTTTTTTGTTGGATAAAAATTGGTGCCTTTTTCTGATCAATGGTATGATCATATCATTCCTCAGTCCTCACGGAGTTGTGTTTCCAGACAATGAGAAAATGAAGAAGGAGATGGGGAGGAGAAAGGGAAGCTGAAGTTTTTTAAAAAGTGGGTACGGGTGCAAACAGAAAGACAAAGCGGCTACAGGTTAAAAAGGGGCGCCGAAATAGGGCGCCCCGTGCAATTTTTACCGGTCTATATTGGACATTTTGATTCAATTTGTATTCTCATTTTTTTTTTACTCTATACGATTTCTCGATTCAGTTCCTAGTTAATAACATGAACGGTGGATAGACCATTTAAACTTAGAAAAAGAATAATATAGGGAAAACTACATAGTATAGTATGTATTTTTTGTGTATTAATGTATAATATACATAAAATATACATATTTCTTACATAATCAATGTATATTGTTCCAATATTTGGCTCGGATGTAATTATTTGTGGAACTTGCCCAATAATATATCCTCCATATCTATCAAAATCCGCAGGAGTCTTGAGACAATCAGTAATTTTTTGACCTGCATTACCAAATTGCCATAACCGATGAAATGATACATAGAGAAAAGTTAACCATGGTTAAAGGGTGCTGCAGATGACACAACAGAATTGTCACAATTGTGAGAAAATCAGAACAAAGGATCTTATGATTCACTGCATATCTACTGCAACCTCGGTTGGATGTACTAAATAATATATGTATTAAGCTTTGTGCGAGATAAAATGTTAAATAAATTAAACTATCACTATTAAAAAAACTGGCTAATTTCGTCCAGGAAAACTGACCGAAATCGGCCGGAATTTGAGAGACCGATTTACTATTGCTTTTGTCGAAATTTTCAGACCAAAAACGGTCGGTTAGTTCAATATGTTGACTGACAACCAAACTACATATACCGATCGAAATCGGTTGGTATTAATTAAATTTTTTTTAATTTATTTTTTAAATACCGATTGAAATCGGTCGGAATTTTAAATATATAATAATTTTATTTAAATATATAATTATTTGTAAATTCTAATAAATTGTTAATTTATTGAAATAAATAAATCCAGAGATTTCATTTGAAAATTCCGACCGAATTCGGTCGGAAATTTTGAATTTCTGGAAAAAAGAAGAAGATATTTTCAACCGATTTTGGTTGATTTTTTGGGTAAAAACCGGGCAGAATATGCCTCCTTTTAAGCTACACCACCTACCAATTACCAATATCCATCCTATAAATTCGACCATAATTAACCAACAACAACAACAATTAACTAACAACAACAACAACAATTAACCAACAACAGTTATCCAACAACAACGCTAATAACAACCACAACCACAAAAACAACGCTAATAACAATAACAACGCTAACATCACGATCCGAAATTCCCACCGTTGGGACCGTGATGGCGCCTAACATCACACTTGCTAGGCAAGCCAACGTTAGAGTTTTATTAGCCAATTTCCTTTACGTTTCAGTGATTAACAATAAACAAGCTAAACGAGTCGAAATAAATGTGGAAATAAGTAAATAGCCTTTTTGTTTATATTCTATTACTAATACTACCCAGAATCCAGTGTCACAATCCACGAACATTCTAAGATTTTACTACAAGCATTTGTTCAAAAGAAAATACAACTGTTTACGAAATAAGGAAAACAATAAAGTATGGGGTATAGAAGGGGACACCAGGACCTGCGGACGCCAACAGGACTACCTTGGGTCTCCAAGCAAGTGAATCCTACAGCCAACCTCTCGATCAACATGAACCTGCTCCAAAATCTGCACGGGAAGTGCAGAGTGCAGTATCAGTACAACCGACCCCATGTACTGGTAAGTGCCGAGCCTAACCTCGACGGGGTAGTTACGAGGCTACAGCGGGGCATTCATAATATAACCTGCATACATTGTATAATAGAAGTAAAAGGAAAGAC